AAATTTGTTTATAACAACCATTCCAAAATTCTTTTTAAAAGCTACTATTTTATGGTTATAGTTTCTTCTTTCAAACTTTTAAAAACCAATTTAGAACAAAAATATTTTTAAATTTTTGATAATCTATTTACAAACTTTTCACTCTTTCCCAAATAATTCACAATATGTTACTGCATTAATTACAAACATATTCATGCAAAAAAAAATGCAAACGTGGACCAAATTTCAATTCTCAAGTTAATATATGTTTATATTAACATAAAATATTTTAAATAGCTACCTCAATAATATCCGATTTTTTAATAAAATAATAGAAAATCAAAACAGTTTTTTTTAAGTATCAAAACAGTGAGTATATTTTAAAATTTTTAGTTAAGATTTGATATTTATTTGTAAGTTTATTCCTTATCGAATATTACTCCATTTAAAATTTTTGAATGATTTTTCTCCTTGAATGAAAAAGCAAATAATATGGAATATACGAACTACTTAATTTAAAAATTATAAGTTTGTGGTTTAACACTAACTATCTATTGATACACAAAAATTAATATTTTTATAAGAAACATACATACACTAAGTATTGAATCTTATAAAAATGAGAAAACCTCTAACAATAATATTAAATATGTTAGTTAAAGTGGGAAAACGGCCTATTCCTCCATGAACTATATTGTTGCTGATTTTTTATACATGAAGTATTGAACCCGGCCAAAACACACATGAACTCGTATGTTTTTTMAATTTACTACATAATCTTTTAAAACTTGGTCAATTCACACAAAACCGTTAACGGAGTCAATTTTCCATTCACAACGTTAATTCTTCGTTAACGGAGTCCGACGTAGAGGACATGTGGCTAACCTTTTCGGATCTGATAATTTTTTTTTTATGGTCAATTCATAAAACGGTGCTGTTTTATGATTTGAAAAAAAAAATTTCAATAAAACTTAGGGTTCATATATCGGGTTTGGTTTGGGGGGAGGGAAACAAATTTTGGAAGGTTGAGAGATAGAAAGAGAGATCGAAAGCGAGAAATTAGTTGTTTGTGGGTTTCGAATAGGGGCAATTTGATTGTTGTTGTCACTTGTTATATTCGGGTTTGGTCGTAACAACAGAAATATTCGGTTGTTACTATGGTGGAAAGATTGAAATGGTTGGTGGCAAAGCTATGTACGTAAGTGGAGGTTATCGATATCTTGAAACTCGACCATCTGCATTGTTTTTATAGTTAAAGAATAATCTGCCGTTGAGTATCTATGGTCAGAGAGTTTTGTATAAGGTCCCTTTTGATGATATAGAGGATCGAAACGACGGAGGAATAGAAAAACACTAATGGAGGAGGATCATGTACATGCT